ACGGTCCAGGACGTAGACGAAGCCCTCTTCGTCGACGAGGCCGGGTCGCCTGTGAGGAGCCATCCACCCTTTTGGAACGATGTGGCCGCCTTAGAAGATTGATGTAATCCATAAGGACTATGTTTCAATCGAATAGTGCAGAGTTCCCCCCTTGATTGTAAACCTCAAATCCTTGTGGGCATTTCATGAAATTGCCCTCAACCAAATCTCCACGGAGAAATGCAGTTGATACATCCATTGTTCAATGCTCATATTCAGAGCCAATGAAAGGACTAACATGAGTCTAGTTTCTGCTCATACTACTGGAGAGTAAGTCTTGGTATAATTATACCTTGACTTGTGTGGGGTCAGTGGGAGTATGAACACTACGTGATATTTCTTTCTGAATATCTTCATAATTTGGTGAGAGTATCAGGCACTCTTACTTTGTTCAAATACAGAGCGATAATGGAAGATTCCTTCAGCTATCATCAACGATGTAGCTTAGAACATAGTAAGCATTCCTGATGATATCTGGAATGAGTTGTTCATTGAAACAAATGAATGTGAAGTCAAAGATTTTGACTCTATATTCCGAATATTCAATGACTGCTTTGCGTCGAAAGTTGCAGGCAAACAAAGTATTTACACCTTTGTTTCTAAGGAATACGCAAAATTCAGTGTGTTGTCATTTATCTAATATGCCTTTCCTTTGTTCCTTATGGAGATGTACACCTCAGAATGGGTGAAGGTTCAAAATCGCTCCACTTTATACCAATCTTCATAGGCTATGTGTTTCTTAAAGGAATGTATGATGTTGTTTTTGACAAACACTGCATATGTCGTACTGCATAGTCATACATGTTCCAAGGAAGGCCTGATGTTTAGATCAAACAGTCTGCCATTTCCTTAATTGTTCTTACACTTTGCTCTACCAAGCCATTGAGTTCTTTAGTGTAAGCTGGTGAATGGTGTGAATGAATGGGTGGATGTTTCTCCAGACAACATTCTTCAAAAGTTGAATTCATTAAATCGTTTCCAGAATCAGAACAATTTTCTAGAACTTTGACATTTTGACATTTTTCCCAATCAAGGCATAATTGTTTCATTGCTTCATATCTGTCAGGGGATTTATGAGCAAGAAAATCAACATGCATGTATCTTGACATGAAGCACAAGGATCCTTTTTGGTCACCCAGCTGGATACTCAAGCCTTTGTGTTTCATATTTATGCTTACATCATTATCCGAGAAAAAATACTTTATCACCTGTTACAAAATGACTGACTGAAATTAGTGCACTGTGAAGTTTTGGAGCATATAGCGAATTCTGCAGGTCACAAACAGGCTTATCAGTTAATTGAACTCTAATAGTTCCAACTGCTTTGACCTCGATGAATGAACACTATGAGCCCAGTCAAACATCATTTTCGTGACCTCCAGAATTATACAGTAGAATATATCTCACTGATATTTGATGCACCGGAATCAAAAATCATCATTTTTGCATTTGCAGAAAATGATACGTGCATCATATTTGGAAATGCAATATGTGCACTGAATTCAGGAAGTGTGAAACACAAACGAGGATACTGAGTAGTGAACCTTGAATTGTCGGTATCAGTCACTTCAAAGTCATCCATGGTGATAGTCAAACCTCTGTTAGGAGCGGCTGCACGCAAAATGCAAACAAAACGAGACAGGGAGGATTGCAGAACTGTGAACGAGGAGGGGGGGTGTTTGTTTTGAATGCTGTTCGGGATTGGACATGTGTGGAGGATAAACCGGGCGGACTTAGTGCTCTGTGCGGACGCCAAGAATTTTGGCGATGCTGCGGCAGGCCACGTGGCCGCGCCACTTCCACAGTTTGTATCAAAATATTTTACATGCACGTGTCGTCAACGGGAATGCAAAAACAGCAAGTTTTCCGCGCTCGACGAAGAGAGACGAAATCTGCACCGTCTTCTTACACTGCATTTACCCTTTCCTGGGTTTCGCGAGCACCGGGGTGATCGTTTTCGTTTCAGGATCATCCATATCTATTCATACGCACACTCAGCAATGAAATCAACCTGAAAGCACAGTTCGCCGACCACTTGGGAGTTTCGACCACGGTCGTAACAGTCGTTTCCCCCGACACGAGGAGGACGGGACGCGCCGCGAACTTCGAGTGGCGTGCCCTCGCGCGCTCTCAAGGTGGGCCTGGTTTCGAGGGACTTGATTGCATTGGGAATGTGGCGCACTGGTGCGATCAAGCGATGGCGAGTGGGGCGCGGGCCGTCAGGTCGTGTTGGTCAGACGCAAATGTCTCTCTGTCTCTCTCTGTCTCTGTCTCTCTGTCTTTCTCTGTCTCTGTCTCTCTCTCTCTCTCTCTCTCTCTCTCTCTCTCTCTCTCTCTCTCTCTGTCTCGTTCGATCGCTCTGTCAAAAACAAATACACAAGGTCTGTCTCCGCTCGGGGAATAAAAGGAAACACTCCGCCTGTCGGACTTGACAAGGTCGCCACATCGCGACGAATGGGGAAAGTCGCTGCCCTGCATTTTCTTGCGGCATAATCCATATATGCGGGCTGCAACGGGCGGAGAAGCGTGAAAGAGCAAGAAAGCAAAAACGACGAGTGTTCTCCGTCTCCGCAGGTCACGGGTTTGATGATGGGGGAGCGATAACGGCTGGCCCCGCGGGAGATTCGCGGACTTGTGCGCCTGCCGCACCTCCCCGGCATTGTTGTAAATAATTCGAAATGAGCAACAACCACGCTCCACACACTTAACACACACATACACCACTTCAACCGCAAGCGCAGCAGCGCGGCCCATTCGACGCACCGCGCCCACCATCGATCACTTTCATCGACGGCTCTGCCGCCTCCGGCAGTACTTGGAAATGCAAGGAAAGAACGGAAACTGAAAAAGAAGAAAAAAAAAAAAATTGTCATGCAAGAAAGAGACCAATTTGACCAACCCCAACCTCATCTCAATCACGAGCTCTCGAATTCCAGGTGTGTTTGAGTAAGAGAGTGCAGCAGTGGGATTATTTATTTCCGCATCAAATGAGGATAAATAGAACTCCGTCTTCGGGCGTGCACACCCCAAAAACCCAAAGTCCTCAATACTTCCATCAACATGAAAGAAATCTCCTCCCACTCTTCAAACCCGAAAATAACAACCATGCAGGTTTCCCCGTTCATGCAACTCCAACAGCGACCCCCGACGACTTCGCCCGGCGCGCAAGGCCCGATGATCAACATCGTCTTCCAAGTCGCCGTGCCCGCGCACCAGTTGGTGCGAGGCGGCCCATTCCCCGCCGGCGCCTTCCAGTTCGTTGCTGCTCCACAGTTCCACCACAATGCGCAAGTTTTCCAGCCGCTGGCGGCCCCGCCGCCGCCGCCACCACCACCACGGCCGCACCCCGTCCCACGCGCTTCCCAGGAACCCGAGGGGTCCACTCCACCATCCACCTCGCTGTCGCACAAGTCCCACCCGGCGACCGACCGAGCCCCCACCACCAACCCCAAGCCGCCCCTCAAACCAGACCCCAGCGCCGGGGTGGTCGCCACGGCGGCATCTTCGTCGTCGTCACCGTCACCGTCACCGTCCGCCAACGGCAACGGGCAAGACGGCAGCGCCTGGGCGGCGGGGCGGCGACGGGCGGCGGCGCCGTGCGCGCACAACCGGCGGCGGTCGCAGTGCGTGTCGTGCTTCGAGCTCGGGCACGGGGGCGGGTCGATCTGCATCCACCGGCGGCGCAAGGCCGGGTGCCGGTTCTGCCGCGCCGAGGGGCGCGACTTCAGGGAGGAGGCCGCCGCGGGCCCGCGACGGCGGATCCGCGGGCCGAACACGTACGTGGCGCCACCGCCGCCGCCGCCGCCGCTGCCGGAAGCGAAGGGCGGCGGCGGCTGCGGCGGTAGGGTAGGGTCGGTGCGGAAGGAGGATCCGGCGGCGGTCGGGTCGGCTGCACTGAAATCCGCGGCGGTGGCGGTGCCCCCCGCGGCGGTGCGCGCGACGGGGCCGAGCGTGTTCAGCGTCGAGGCGCTGTGCGGTGCGACGTCGTCGGTGCTCCCTCGTGGGCTCAAGACTCCCATGGCATCGCCAGGTACCGCCGCGCTCAGCGGGTCACCAACGCCAGAGTTTGAGCCGGCGGCAGCAGATTGAAGAACGTGCTCTGAAGAAAAACTGTGGTGGACTGGAATACGCGGATGATTTTTGCACTATGCCCGCACGTATATTGGGGGTGGCCAAACCCCTGCTCCCCGCGGACCCGTTCAAAGCGAAATGGATTCTCGTTTGATCTGTTTTTTATTCCATTTCCAACGAAAAGGCAGCTCTTTGGCTCCCTTCCCCCTTGGCCAAGATGACACAAACTTCCTGAGTCACCCAATTACGAATCATGATTCGTATCCGGCTTCAGTGCGGGGGGATGAAATGGGAATAAACAAAAAAAAATATGTTACAATTTCAATTTTGTCCGAATCCGGAAATGACCCCGCAGGCCGACACAGACAGAAGGCCGGTGGACAGCACTTTGGCCAGAGGCTTCCACGGAAATTGCCTTTCATTGAATCCGCCACTGCGCTTTTATACTCCTTCTCATCAATGTTTCCGTCTCTTGTGGCGTTTCTTTTGAACTATTTCGTGATCACCCAAATATCCAATTTTTTCCGCTTCCACTATCTTTTTTCTTTGTTCCATGCTTCTTTTTTGTCGTTTGGTATGAAAATACGCCAAAAAAAAAACAATTATCAATCCACAAGAAATATTGGACAAAACGTAAAAAATTCGAGGGCTGAACCGCCAGTCTGTCGGCATGAGAAGACGCTTTGTAAGCAGCATTTGCGACAGACTAACGCGGCCTTCAGCTTCGAAAAGACGATGGCTGGCAGCTGATCTCCAATCTCCAATATTTTTCAGCACCCAATCCAATTTTTCCTGGCGCAAGCCATAGATAGTCAAGTACATTATTTTCTCTCAAAACGCACGGATCCCCAATTTTCCCCAGACAGCTTACCTGAAATCAGACAACGATATGGAGGCATAGGGATCGAACCCGAGGCACCTCTCATGCGAAGCGAGCAATCTACCGCTGATATATACCCCGATGCCGGTTGGATCGGTGGGTGAACTTATGCTTATTGGAGTTCTCGGTAGAACCAAAGGGCCGGTGGATTACTGGATAGCGCATGTGGGAGTCGGATTGTGTTGAGGTTCTGAATGTGAAGCGGGGCGAAAAGGCATTCAGCCGCGCGATCAGCTCATTTTCGCGCATCAAAAAGACAAACAAAACCCACGACAAAGACAGAGAAAGACAAACAAGAAAGAAAAAGCAAATAATTCTGTAAAAGGACCAATCGCGCAACAATCTATCATTTGCATGTCCCGGATGACCGAAAGCTCTTCCTCGTCGGCATCGGCAGCGACAGCGCCGGATCACCACCACCACCCCATCGTCGCAAAGGCGACGTCGACCCCGAGCCCGACATCGGCGCCACTGCGCGTGGACGCCGCCCGCGCCGCCGCGTGGAACGGCCGCACCGCCGCCGCCGCGGCTGATCCGGGGGCGGTAGCGGCGGCGGCGGGAGCGCGCAGCACCCCGCCCCCGCCATCGTCGCTGTTCTCGTCCCTGTCGTCGTTGCCTGCGCCGCCGCCGCCGCTGCACAAGGCCGTGCAGCGCACCGACTTCCACGCGGCGCCGGACTCGCTGTACATCATGCCCGCATCGTTCGAGGGCGAGGTCGGGAGGCTGAACGTGCAGGTATGCGCGCGCGCAAGCCCGATGCCCCTGGAAACAAGAAGACCTCCCCTTGCCCGAAATAGAACAGTCCAAAGACAAAAACAAAAAAAGAACCCAAGGGAAGCAACCTCGTTTGTCTCTTTGCCTCACCCAGCCCGTCTGTCTCTCTCTCCCTTCGAACAACCCCGCCAGCACGTCCTCCTCCGCACGACGTCCGGCGCGCTCTTCCACTCGGACGCGGTGCGGTCGCTCCTGCAGTCCGCGTCGGCGTCGGCAACGTCCGACAACCACCCCGTCCGCGTGCTCGACATGGGCTGCGGCCCGCGCTTCAACTGGACCGCAGAGGTCGCCCGCGCGTACCCGGCCGTGAGCTTTGTCGGCGCCGTAAGTAGTTTTCATTGACACACCCATTCATATGCTTGTCGTTTGTTCTGACAAACCCACAGGACGTTGCCCCGTTCGACGAGACCGCGGCGCGGCCCCCGAACGTATCGCTTGTGACAGAGAACGTGCTAAAGGGCACAAGCTGTTGAGTGGTGTTTCCATTTTGCCTTATTTGCAACTCTTTTTTCTCAAACCCGCATTCCCCCCCCCCCAAAAAAAACGCAACATCTCAGTCCCAGACAACCACTTTGACTTTGTTTTCCAGGTACCCACCACCGCTGCCCACGCTACTCTTGTTATTGTCTCACTCCTCCTACCTTCCAGCGCCTCCTCATAGGCTCCGTTCCCGCCACGCAGTGGCCCGCTGTCATCCGCGAGCTGGTGCGCATCACCAAGCCGGGAGGGTTCATCGAGCTGGGCGAGGTACGAAGGGTTGGCTGAGTTCCATCGCTGCAGTGTGCTAATCCAACCCTGGAAACGTAAACATGAAAAAAAAAATTTAAAAAAAAAAACCTAACCGATCACCCACAAGTCGTGTGTCGCCGCGTGTCGTGCTGGCCCAAAGGGCGAGATGCACAATGAAGCACGTAGGACCTTCTTTGCTTGAGGGCGGAAGGGAGCTAATGATCTGGCCGGACGTGATGCTGTGTTTGCTCCGTTTTCTAACGCAGTCGCTTTTCTTCCCCACGCCCCCCCTCGCTCCGACACACTTGAAAGTCCTCGCGGCGCTCAGGGCGCGCGGGCTGGACCCCGAAGCCGGTGAGTTTCATCCGAAAGGCCGATGCATTTCTTTTTTCCTCGCCGTCTGATTGTACCCGAAAAAAAAAACAAATCAATAAAAACCTAAACACACGCAGGCCTTCACCTTCCGGAATACTGCGCGGCCGCCGGCGGCCTGATGGACCTGCAAAGCGGGCAGTGCTCGCTACCGGTACTGTAAAACCTCCTTACTCGCCCTTAAGATGCCCCACATGTTCTTCCAACTCAACCCCCCCCCCCAAAAAAAAAAAATTAAAAGGTTGGCTGGAACGGCGCGATCGGCGCGCTCGGGCACCGCTGCATCGCGCAGTCGTTCGAAGGGCTGCGGTCGTTCCTGTCGACCGCGCTGACGCTGACGGACGACGAGTACGACGCGTTCACGTCCGAGTTCCTGGAGGAGTGCGTGGTGCAGCAGTCGTTTTTCAATTTCTACTGGACTGTGGGGAGGGTGGTGAAGTGAAAGAGCGGACGTTTAAATAAGGTGGGTTTGCCTTAGGGGGGACCTTAGGGGGGCTGGGCTGATGAACGGAGGTGGTGGTGTAGGTTCCAAGGCCAATTGCTTGTTAAAGCAAAAATAGAGGTTAGCGGGAGAATGAGGGGGAAACAAAGAAATTTGGACGCTTCATCGCTCGGCGGGAGATCGCGGTAGCTCCTGGGCATCAAGCTGAATGTGAAAGCTTGGGTTTCGTTTAGCCGCAACGCTCCTCTGAGCACGTGGCTGGCTCTCAACCGTCAGTATATGATACATTATGTCACTGTGGGTGGAAGAAAAGGGCCTCTTCCATCGACGCAAAGCATAGACGTCGGAGGAGGGGGACGACCCTCCCGTACCGCCAATGATGCCGGCCGCCATTGATACCCTCCCCCTATTGGGTCGACTGGACCCAGACGCGGCATTTTTGTTTTTTCTTTTCGTTTTTTCTTCTTGTTACTGCTGCTGTTGTTGTTGTTCTTGAATATTGTGGTTTTGGTGCTGGCAAACATGGCAAGGCTTTTCTGCTTACCTCTTTTTTCGCTGTGTTCAATGTCTTCCCTGGGTAAAAGTTTCCGGTGGAGCCAGCCCACCCCAGTTGAATTGAATTGCTCCATTCCCTTGAAAAAAAGAGAAAAAAAAAAAAAGACTTGCATCGCATATTTACCATGTGTGGAAATGAGAATGACCGAACCTTTGTTTGTGCATGTTGTTTCAGCTTGTGACGTGGTCTGGCGAAGGAAGAATGGAAATGTGTGTGTGTGAGTGTGTGTGTGTGAGTGTGTGAGTGTGTGGGTGAGAGTGTGTGTGGGTCGGTTCGCTGAAGACAGGACAGCGCGTTGGCCAAGGAGCGGGAGACGAGAGAGCCGGAATGTCGCGGGCCAGTCGCGCGGGGCCTGGCTGTGGCTGGCTGGCTGGCTGTCCATGCGAAGACAGCGAGCGCGCGGCGCGCGAGACAACAGTTCTTGCCAGCCTTCCAAACAAAAACAAACAAACAACAATGGAACAATGGGAGAATGGAACAATCGAACAAACGAAACCTCTCTTTTTCCTTCTTCCCTCACCCCGCATTGACGTTTGCGGACCCAAAATCGCCGCATTGGTAGACACGCGCAAGGAGGCGGATGGATAGATCTAGTAAGTAGCAATTGGGTTGTTTTTTTTGTTTTTTGTTTTTTTGTTTTGTTTTTTTCTGTGAAACGCCTCCTCTTTCGGTGAATTGATTGACAGCTTGATTTGGGTTGCTTCTGCTTTTCGACCCAGCCCCCAAAAACATTGGGGGGAAAAAAAATATACATATATAAATAAATATGTAAATATAAGCTCAAAAAAAATTATGACTTCGTGGGGGGCACACGTCGGGGCCAATGCCCCGCGACTTTCCAGCAAAAACCGCAGGCAGAAACAAAGAATAAGATCAAAAAAAAAGAACCTTTCAGTATGAAGACAGCACTTCAAGGCATTCTTCTCTCATTTTCCTCCGAAAAAGGATGCAAATACACTAGTGAGTAAGTATGCGATGCGGATGAGTGATTGCCACAGGGTGAGTTTCCTTGCTGGCGATGTATAAAAGGCCAGCCTTTTCGATCTCCTGGAATCGCACTCACCAAACACTCCTGGCCCTTCCCTCCACCCAGATAGAGCAGCAAGATCCGCAAATAGCTATGCACATAGAACTCGCTCGTCGAGCCATCTCTTGGAACGTGGAAGGCGACGGCTCTTTCTGGTCATTCGGCTGCGACTGGACCGGCAACGATCTCAACAATGTTCCCGCGGCCTCAAGTGAGTGCGGGCCAAAGTGCATCTCCACCTCCGGCTGCACAAACTTCGCCTGGACCGATTTTCAGGGGGGCACTTGCCGGGTAGCTTGCCGCGATCGGCGGCTGTGGCGGCCTCGGGCTCTGGTGAGTTCCGTCTTCATTTGGTGCTCTCAGGCTGCACTTGCGGGAAACATCATTGTCTCTTTTCAAATTCCATGCCCGTCTCATTTCTTTTTTATCCCCGGTTGACTTTTGAAAGGCATCCTCTGCGGCGGAATCTTTCTTCCCGAGTGGACCACCAACGGCGACGGGTCATACTGGGCTAGTAGCTGCGACTGGGTCGGAGGAGACTTTACGAGCGCGCTGACCACGTCGAGCAATTGCGGGCCGACCTGCGTTGCGAACCCCGATTGCACGAACTTTTCGTGGACCGACTGGTCCGGCGGCACGTGTTGGATGAAGAAGGGGAATTTCGCGAAATCGGCGGCGGTGTACTCGTCGACATCAGGTGTGTGTGTGTGTGTGTGTGTGTGTGTGTGTGTGTGTGTGCCAACGGTTTATTTTTTACTTCTACTTTTTTTTTTTTTTTTTTTTTCCCGGACGGCTGGGCATACTGGTGGTTCGTCTAACACAAAGCATTCTTCAGGAGCTCTTTGCGGCGGGAGAGGCACAGCTCCTGTGAGCACTTCCAAGACATCCACTCCCACTTCGACGAAAGCGTCGGCGACAACGACCCTCATTCCGACTTCAACGAAAGCCTCTTCCACAAGCCCCACGGCCACGGCGACGACGACCCCTGTTGTGACAGCTCTCGCAAACGACAGAAAGGCCCTCTTGCAGGGTGTGGATGAATCTTCTTGGGCCACAGCCGTCGCAACTGGGGCAGCGCCAGGCAGCATCTCGATTTACTCGGATCAAGTCGCAGCGCTGCTCACTGATGCGAGTGCCCACGTAAGCTGTTCAAGACCAACATAATATGCAAGTATCCGCAA